ACTGTGACAATAATGTTAGAATACCACAGAAGCAGCTCAGTCTAAGTGTTTCGGGGACTGATCAAAAGTGTTGGGTTTGGGGAGTGAAAGGAATACTGAGGCAGAGGAGCCAGCAATAGATGAGAAGAAACACACCCTGTTTCATGGGTGTAGAGAGAGCAATGTAATTTCAATCTCCATTAATTTCCATCCATTTCAACATCACTATCTGTAAACTAAACCACAATCCTTTCCAGTGGTCTGAGCTTAACAAGTTAACATAGATTTTACCTTATGTAGAAATTTTCTACTTCATCATTAAAGTAAATTGAAAAAGAACAGAAAAATATAAGGGCATGTTACTCATTTTTAGACAGTGTTTTTTCTGTTATTTTTGTATCAAGTTTTTTTCTTTACTAAACAGATAGGCACCAGGCTGTTATTACCAATAAGAAAACAGTTCATTTTTTTTGTCATGTATTTTGTGTGGTTTTATGCTTTTCATATTTTTTTATGATGTGTGTAATTCATGCTGTCATCATTAACGTGTCTGAACATCTAATAGTGATGCTGCATAGAGATATACATGAGCATGATTTCCACATACGTGTGTGCATTCAGTAAGATTCACCAAGTACATTTTATTACCAAGTGGAACTGTTTTAGACCTTGTGTTTAGTGTAACTGCAACATCTCAATTCAGAAGGATCCCAAACCTAAAAACTGAGCCATTTTGTGCATATAGGTTAACATTCACATCTCATATCCTTCAATTAAGAGGATTATATTAAAACAATAAACTAAATTTTTATATAATCTGAATTAGCTTAATGCTTTTAACAAACATTTTAATTAAAAGCTCTATTCATACAACATTAAAATTTAATGGAAACTTGATATAACTTTTAATCCCTTAACTGACATTAAAATTAATTTTGTCATAATTATTTTCTGGATTGTTCCTTAACACTTTTTACAAAGGAATGCACTGTCGATTTTGAAACAAACTTGGGGAGATATTACTCTGGCTTCCTATGGTGTGGTGTAAATCTCTGCAATGGGAAATTGCAAATGTTAAAATATTTTGAAGATATTGAAACAGTAAGATGAAATCATATAAGATTTTTTAAAAATGTTATTAATCACAAAGTTACCATCTCTGAAACAGGATTGTCTCTGATGACAAGCCAGTGGAATCTGAGAACAGCAGAGAATATCACCATATATTGTTCCTGAGGTTTTTAAATCTATTCCTATAGATTAAAGCTATAATATGCTGTTATGGTCTGATCAAATGCAATAATTTTAGTTTTCTTAAATATATGAAATATTTTTTATTTACTCTCCAGTGTATTTTGGTGTCAATAATATGCAAAGCAATGAACACATTTTTTATATAACCAGTTTAGAAAAAATAACTAAGAATCAAGGCAAATAAATTATTATAGAATCATAGAATCATATCAGTTGGAAAAGACCCTTTAAGATTATTGAGTCCAACCATGAACCCAACACCACCAAGTCCACCACTAAACCATATCACTAAGTGCCACATCTGCATGTCTTTTAAATACCTCCAGGGATGGCGACTCAACTGCTTCCCTGGGCAGCCCGTTCCAGTGCTTGACAACCCTTTCAGTGAAGAAATTTTTCCAAATATCCAATCTAAACCTCCCCTGGTACAACTTGAGACCATTTCCTCTTGTCCTGTTGCTTGTTACTCAGTAGAAGAGACCAACACCCACCTCACCACAACCTCCTTTCAGGTAGTTGTAGAGAGTGATAAGGTCTCCCCTCGACCGCCTTTTCTCCAGACTAAACAACCCGAGTTCCCTCAGCTGCTCCTCATAAGACTTGTGCTCCAGACTTTTCACCAGCTCTATTGCCCTTCTTTGGACATGCTTCAGCACC